CTCGTCCTCGTCCTTCCAGATCAGAAGATCAACTCGCATTCTCCAATAATTACGACTCTCACTGCGGTGACAAACGTTCCCCAAACGCCATGTCTGGCACCAGCGCTAGCAAGCAAGAACCAGCCATTTCCCCCACGCGAGGCAACAAGCCCTCATGGAAAGTTTCAATGAACCGGGATGGAGGAAACGCTGCAGTGATGGACGCGTTGTATGAGATGGCGGATCTGTATGTGCAGCCGGGAAGCCAAAATTGCGAGTACCCAGATCTGGGAATCTCGCCAGGTAGGTCTTTGCCATACGTCTCTTTCCATACTGACCTCCCGCCGGTTCAGCTGAAGGAATCGGGAAGATCATCATCGATGATGGTCTATCAGGCCATGACATGCTGGATCTGATTTGGACTTTGCACCCGGACGTGCTCTCCGCTCTTATCGACAACACGTTTGCCTGGAGATACTTTCACGAACCCCAATTCCTATCAAAGCTATATGGAGTTGACGACTGCTGCGGCACATACATCGTCACCTATATTGTCGAGAATGATCAAGGAGATTTGATTAGCAGGGAAGACTGGCGAAAGTTTGAGAAACATGCCCGTGGCTCCTGTGGCTAGGATGAAACCCTCCCTATACCAGGATATGCGACTGAAGGAAGCGCCCAAATCGTCCCCGAGGTCGACTCGATGTACGCAAGGAAGTGAGATAAGCTAGTAGACATACAAGACTCCGCTGTGGCTGGCGGTGTTAGGCTACTAAGACCAGCGTAAACGAAGAGACATTCCATGCTTGATCGGATGTGCTACCAATGTTGCTCGCGGTTTGGAGGCCCACAATCCGGATGGAACTCTGCAGAACTCCGTTGATTCATATAAGTTTGACATTAGCTTGTGGAAGTCTTCGGGGTACCGGGTTCGCGTGTGCAGGGCTCTAATCTTCAAGATTTGGAAGCCGACACGACATTCAAAGGGGGAAATACTTGCAACATGGATTGCAGGATCAATGGTAGAAAACTCGGGGATGAATTGCGTCAACCCCGGATGCGCAACTCCTGCGGAAATGTCCGCACAATATCAAAAGGCGCTGAAGGAGATTTTCATTGCCAACAACTGGGCCACAGCGAATATCGACGAAGAAATCGAGCGTTGCGATCGGGATCCGCCCCAGACAGCTCCAATTCCGATACCTCTTCGACGCCATCTCTCGCTTCGACGGAGAGTAGCCAGGACGAAAGTCTTTAAAACGAGCGTATACCAGCTAACCAAGATGAAAAGAATCCTACATTGATAGAAAGCGAACTGGTATTGCCAGAAAAAAGCCACCATCCAAGCCGTGGAAGACTTCAAAGTTGCTGATGATCTGACCCGACGTCTGGAACAGAGGATTAGAGAATATCGAGCTGTTCTGTTCCACGCCCGAGAGGTCATTGATTCTATGGAGGAAGAAGTCAGAGAAAGGGAGCAAAATGTGCTTTTAAGCGAGGAAATTAAGAAAATATTGGACATGGAGGAGGGCTATGGAGGAGGAGGAGGTCGGTCTTGTTGACGAATGACAAATCAACATTTTTAGCATCACAACTGATTTTGAGAAGATGTTATAAGCCGAATGTACACTTCCACCCCACCTGCAATGCAAAAGCATACACAATCCACTTATTCAGGAATTCAGACGTGATAATTTGATAATGCAGAACTCACAGTATGATCATTGCACCAGCATTACTTTCCCACAAAAGCATGGGCTTAATGCACCTCTTGTAATTCGCCCAATGATCGTTCATCGATTCGAACAGTCCGAGGAGCGTGTTATCACGAGACTTGTTTTCTGTGCGGCTTCCAGCTCGTCCAATTCGGCGACCACTGGCCCACCATTGCTTGATTGAAGCGACTTTTCCTCCCTCCCCTTGTGTCACATCACAAGTACTATTTCGTTGCGACATTTTGAAAGTTAATGAATTAACAATTCGTCATTTGTACAGAGTTATCTGTAGGAGATGCTTCTTGTGCTATCGGTCAAAGAGTGAAACTCCACCTTCATGTATTCTCATGCGTTTCATTGTTCTTTCAGTAACTAGCGACTACTAATTCGATGATGGAGTGTACTCACCTTCACTCCGACGTCGAGAGCTTACACTATGTCTGAATCTTCCTGTCGGTTCAGTAGCGACAATTCGCCTGAGTCCCGATGGGAACAACATTTTGTAAGAGGATATCTTATTCATTGCCGAATAGTCACATTGTCTGATTATTGATTCACGGTTAACTCAAACCTATAAAAGTGTCTGTTGTCCCCTCTTTTCGCATTGCTTTTCTGATTCTGTTTTGACACAACTCATACTAAACAGCACCACCAAAAGTCCATTTAAGGAGCACTCTTGTCGACAAACACCCTTAAAACAATCTTTTGCATAATATAAACTGACAACACTTTGTCAATTAGGCTTTATGTTAAGAGGAAGATCTTTGCTTTCTGCCACGACATTCCGCAGAGAACTCGCACGCCCGCTGGTTACTGTAAATCCTTCAAGACTCTTCAGCTACAGGCAACCACGTCAAGCACAACAATCTCAAGCCCAACAACATCACCGCCTGTTCTCCAAAATGGCAAGCACGCCCAGTTCTGCCACCCAAAAGCGTCTCAATCACCTCATCAACTCATCCATCCTCAGCTTGTTTGATGAGCCAATCAAAGCAATAGAGCGAGAAATCCAACCACCTCCCAAACTCTTCATCGGTAATAAGCAACTCTCCTTCGTCGCAGACGCCCGCGAGGCTGAAGTTAAAGAACGAAAGAAGGCAGCCGAAGAAGAACGCGCACGGGAATTGAATGATGGTACGACCGCTTGTGAAAATGGTGAGCGACCTAGTGAAAACCCGATTGCAGGACGCTGGTCAAGGAGGAGACTTTGCTTCCATCCTCGTCGAGAGTATAGTCGCAAAGCAACACCGACAAATATCGAAACTGGCTTAACGGGTTAGATGAGACTGTCCAAAAGGCCCAGGTGGAGGAGGAAAAGCTTGGTCCGCAAGAAATCTCGGACACGCTAGGTCGATTAGGTCCCACCATCGAGCGTGTCACTGAGACTCTCCGTGCCTCAATCGGCCCAGAGGTTCATATCTTGGCTCAAATGAAGATGGGGGATTCAGATTTTGTTATGCGCCAAATTTTCAACGGTACAAGCGAGCAATAGATCAGCACCACAGCAATCTTTGAGAGCGCTATCAAGATTGAGCTCGTCGTTTATGGCGAGCCTTGTCTACCCGATCTATCAGACTCCGACGAAGACTTTATACCGGATTCCGAAGAAGACGACGAAAAGTAGGTCACAAACAACCTATTGTACATCCTTCGGATCTACTTAACATCTAATATAAAACATTAACAAAATCAATATTCTCCCTCGCTAAATAAATGTGACATGACAACAATCGCGAGTCCTGACGTCGGTAACGTGTAAGTGTGATTATTATGTTAATCTATATAGTTAAGCTTATCCTTATAAACTCCCATTAAAGCCGACCTTGATAATAGTATATCTTCTTTAACTATCCGTGATTTAATAACTATACGTAACGTATCTATTTAGCTTAGCCTTCTTTAATTTCTATTATTAAATCTTTTTAGAGGCTTATAACTTTTAAACATTCTAGTCTTAGTTTAGATTAAAGGAAATGTATAACTATTTTAGGTGAATAGGGGTATTTAATTAGATGTATTTAAAACTTTTCATCTACTCTCGACGTTCTTAGTAATCTTCGTGTATTAAACCTCTTCCAACTTCTCGCGGTACCTTTTAAGTTCTAAAACCTTCTTGCTTCTGGCGTTGCGGTTTCGAAACCGCGTTTTCAAGGACACCCGACTTTCCTTCTCCTGTCATCTTTCCCCTCGCTGTTGCCTCTTGACGCTTCTGTTCATCATTTTTTACCGTCCTCAACCCTGCCAACCTTCTCATTTAGTTGGTAATTCCAGTTCCGAGTCCAAGTATAACATCTAGGTTTGTTTCCTTTATTTGTCTTAGGTTCGAAAATAGTGGGAGTCGTTCTTTTATTAGCTTTGGCACTATTAGTGTAGGTAAGTAGTTATCGCTAGAATCTAGACTATATAGGTCAATAGGCTTATCTACCCTTCTACTCTTAGGTGTTAAAGGGTTTTCTTTCTAAATAGCCTTTATAGGTTTCGTCTTAACAGAACCTAACCTTCCCTCTTTACTATTCTTACAATACTTACCCCGAGGTACTTCTCTAAGAGTAAGTTCTAATAGTAGTGTGTTCTTAGACTCTAAGCTACTAGAAACACTCTAATGAGCTAGAGAGTGATTTCTTATGTTCTTTGGAGTATTTAAGGAATGACCTACATCTTTTGTTGGCATAGCGTCTACGAAAGTCTCTGGTGGTTTGTTGCTTTTCTCTTTCTCCAGCGACTGTGGGTTGAAAATGGTCTGTTCAGCCTTCTGAACAATCCCCATGTCGGTAAAGAAGGTATCTTCCTAAGGGTGGAATGATTCTTTACCAGCCTTGGCCGTTACCAGCGTCTTAATTGTTTCCACCTCCTTACAGAAGTCTTCCCAGGCCAGTGCGAGTGGTTCGGAGCCTGGAAAGCCATTGGTGCACAGATTCTCTCATCTGTAGCAGGAGCAGGCGCCTTCGCTCTCGCAAGAAATTCGGCTAGTGATCTCGGTCCTGCCCGAACTTCCCCTCGTGCCTGAATCACCAACATGCCAACATTTGGACGAAGTGGGACCCGGATTCTAATTCGACATGAACCTTGGTCAAGCTTCCCCAATTAGTTCTCCAATTATTCCGGAGGTTCTTGGTAATCTTCGGGAATATGAGCATCACCCCGTAGGGAAGCACCTTCCACATCAACCGGTAGGTCAGACTAATTAGTCGCTCCTCTAGCCCACGTTTAATTTCTCCACCGTGTCTAGTCTACGCGCCCACAAAGGCTGGAATCCTGTATCCGTCGTATCTTTTGGGTGATGGAAAGTCAGGAAGGCGAGTCTCTTATTTATAGACGTCTGTCTTAGTGTAGTGGCTTCCGGAATGTGACTGTGTATTTATTGTCTCCACAATGACTTCTCCGCGCCCACAAAGGTTCACATGGCAGTTTCAGCTACTACAATATTGAGCTTTTCTATATCTAAGAGGTACGTAGGTTAATTCTAGGAACCCAGTCAAAGTATGGTGTTTTTCTACATTTTTGGCTGCCTCTGAAAATCTAACCAGCCCATCGGTGAGTAGTCTTATGGAAACACCCTACATTGCGACAGCGGCCTCCCAAAAATGCCACATGCACGGTCTTTGAAGAGGTGACGACTGTGTCATTGCGGAGTAGGACTTTGAGGCCTTAACTTTGTTTTTCTGAACAGCCCCCTTGGTCTCGTGAATAGAAGCGCGAATTTGACGCGGTTTTTTGCTAGTCTCTGTTTGTGCCCCGTTGGAAATGGAGGTTCCGCCATGTTGTAGTCGTGACAAAGGAGCAGCCTTGATGGGCGCCGAATTTTCAGCTTGTGGTTTCATCTGGAGGTCTCGATTTTGTTTCTCCTTCTCTTCAGCTTCCCGCCTCCTGCTGTTATCTTTCTGCCGTCTGGCAAGGTTGCGCTCCTTGACAGCTTTAGGATCATTAAGAGAGGTTTCTGCTTTCTCTAACTCTTCTTCCGCGGACGAAGGGTCACTAAGGATGATCCAATGTTGTAAATGAGTAAGTATGTAGTATCTTGACGGGGATTCTCGGATTAAGTGGCACGGATCGTGTACAGCTAAATAGGGTTGACAAGAGGCTGGAAATGTCTAAATGAAAGTATATGAGACACAGGAAAGTGACTTACAGCATCGTGCGCAAAGTTTCCAACCTGCGTTACCAGCTTAGGAGACTCTGGTTTCTCCAGCTGGTTTTCGGGGTTTAAAGACTCAGCAAGTGGTGCCTTTACCTTCGCTGCATAAAGACTTGGGATGGCCCTACTAATTATCTTCTTGGGCTTCTCGGGAGGAGGCTCTAAGGAAGCATCGCTCAAGGAGTCATCGGAAGAAGAATCATCTTCATCATCCTCATCAGACTTCTTTTCTTCGGCTAGAAATTCGTCTTCCTCGTCTTCTTCCACCGTCTGGAAATCTTCAGACTTCGCATCTTCGTCGACTGTGAGGTTAACATAGTTTGTATCAAAGTCCAATGGAGGAAAGAACAGTGGGGGACCGGTATTCGACTGAATGTTGGGACGGCGAGTCTCTTATTTATAGACGTCTCTCTTAGCGTCGTGGCTTCAGGAATGGGATTCTATATCCATTGTATCTCACTAGATTGGGCGTCAAAGCGGAGGAAGCGTCTTATTTCAAGGTTTCGAGGCTTATCTAACATGGCTGTCTCGGTTACCGTCATAGCATTGTGAATGGGGTTCCGAACTATTGTATCGTTCTAGACGGCTCAATCGTCCTGGCTCGGATTTCTTCTTGACGACGAAGCGGACGAAGCGTCTAGACGGCAGGTCGTACATACTACGGCCGTATCGGCTGGCATGACGGCATCAAGAATGATGTCCCAGGTCCATTGTATGGTTCCTCATGACTGAATGGCTCCAGTTCGAGGTTTGCCTTAGTATTGTATCTGGTGAAAGCGTTGTGGTCTTAAGTCTTGGTGGCTGAATACCAATAATCAGCCGAAGGTCGTTGTCATACGGTTGATTATCTGTGCGGATATAGCTACGTGCTTCCTCAGGTGCTTGGACCATCTTTTGCGAACGTCAACCCCGTCTACTAAACGCCAATGCTCAAAATCCTGCTGCTTGGCACTCAAGGTCCGCGGTAAAGAAGGAGGTAGCTTGAAGACGATTGTTCTGTATAGTCTGTTGTTCCTCGGCGGTTCGAAATCGCGTGCCGCATATCTGTGGCCATTAATGGTTGTATATGGCTTGTCCTGCCTGGGTGGTTGGGAATAGTGTGGGCGATGGTGGGCTTGATGCGGACCGTAGTTGTAAACTGTTCAAGTAGAGGTATCGGTCCTTTGATCCTCTGCCAAGCAAGAAGAGGATACAGCCTTGCTACGTCCAGACTCTGCCATAGAATCGGAAATGACAAATCGTGGTACGTTCGTCGTACCTGCGTCGGCCTCCAGCTGCCTTCTCGTGGTTCCCGAACCTTCAGTAAGCAAAGTTAGCAATTGTTTGAAATGAGTCTTCAAGGAATCCACCTCTCACATTTGAACAACGAGCGAGGCCATCGACAGGTAGTTTGACATGTTTAGCCAAAAGAGCTTGTCATAACTTTCCGTATTTGACGAGACTCCTATGAACTGGGATACTGAAAATCCCTATTGCGCCATCGGTGTCCATTTTCCTGAATATTCTGTTACAGAAAATTTGAGGAAAGCGTCTGTTTTGAGTTTGATAACTTGTAATTCAACGTCCTAGAATGTAACTACTAGGCTCGTCGACATAAATACCAGGACCATCACTGAACATTACGTTAAATCGAGAATGTCCTAGGCGACTAAATCACAGAAGGCAGGGCCATCATCCCATGGCGAGAAGGGGCCAAAAGATTAGCCTAGTGAACAAAGAAAATAACTATGAGTCCTAGAGCAGAGCGAATGCATCATGATGTCTTTCCCGGCCTGCAACTTCTTTTGTCGATGAATGTTCCTGTGGCACACGTTCTGTAATATTGAAGCGCGATGTGGGTGAAAAGAAAACCCTAGAACCAGACCTGACAAACGTCCAAGATTATTACGTGTTACTCCAGAGACGAATATAACACAACAACAGAATCATTGTCGGATGAAGAGCGTCGAATCAAGGGCGTCGAATGAAGGGCGTCGAATGATCGTTGATTCGCGATCGACATGCTTGTCAGGTGCACGAAGTTTTCGTTTCAAAGCGTTCCGCTGGATATGCATTTGCTAAGAAGCAGAAGAAAGCGCCAATGGGAAGACGCTTGTGTATCAAGGAAGGGTGTGAGGGTTGTTACAGGAGTTCGCGAACAGGCGAGAAAAGACGCGAGTTGGGTTGAAGTTCATCGTCCAGGAAACGGGCGCATCGGGTTCAGAATCGCGGTTTGCGAGGGAGGCTTTGCAGAAGTCCGTCGAGTGCTTTGTCAACAGGATTCGGCTTGCCTGTTGTTGGGTGCCCAGGTGGACTCGAGAGCGGATGCGGCTTAGCGATGTTGGCTTTCCCAGCCCCGATTCCAATCCAAGGAGAGTTTCGCGACGTCGTCTATGTCGAGCTTCACACTTTCCAATTCGTCGTGCTTTGTTGAGGCTATGAGACTAGACTTGCTTCAGATGGTTTGAGCACCATTGCCAACGCCTAGCGCCCAGAGGTTTTTGAGGGCTGAATACTGATATCAGAAGATTATTAATAGGTATATTTTCTCAGTCCGAAACCAGACCCGCGTTCTCTGGGAGTTGGAAACTCATGACCGGTACTGGCTCGACGAGTACAAGGGAAAGTATTGATTGGCAAACCTTTGTGTATGGCTGACCAATACTGGCTCGATGAGTACGAGGAAAAGATTCGATTGGCAAACCATGGCGTATGGCGATGAAAGGCCGAATGGAGGCTTGACGAGGATGAAGAGCATCAATTGGCAGACCAGTGTTCATTGACATCAATTGAAGGACTGAGTTGACGAAAGCTCAGTGAAGATTGTGCTTTGGAAGCGCTCGCTGCTCGCAGTGCTCGGCGTCTCACGAGATTGTCGCTCGTATTCGGTGTCATTCTGTCGCAATCAGAAAGTAGAAGGGAGTCCCATGGGTGGTGTCTTGTGGGTAGGTGCTGCGCGAAAAACTTTTGAAATGGCAGATCTAGCGGGCAGAAGGATATTCGTTCACCTTCGCAAGTGAAGTGACGAGGGCGTGCAAGAAAAGACAAAAGAAATCGGGCGACCGGCAGAACTGGAACTTATCAGCAAGTAGGTAATAGTTTTGAAGATTGCAATATGGTGGCGTGGCGCTTGATCAAATTGTGTAAGTCTAAAAATTGCGGCGCAAACTTCAGTTCGTTGAAGTTGTTCATCCCAGCTAGGCTTAGCGTGCTCAAGTGCCAGGTCACGTTCCGTCATGTGACACGACTCCATAAATTGTGCAAGGTTTGTACAGTTGGAAACCATCTACCACTAAAACTACTTTTTCATCTTCGTTTCGATTGCGATAGCATCCTCGTCACGAGCTCTATATCAGAGTCAACACGATCAACAACATTCCCGGTATCAAAATTGTTATGGGTACCGCTCTTAGCTGTACAAATCCACTTATTGGGGTGGCATTTGCTGTGCTCTCAGTTGTGGTAGCCAGAGATCCTTTTGCTGATGTTGTAGAGGCGCTGCTTGTTCTCGGCTGATCCGTCTTTGTGACCGTAGACCCGACATAAATCTCAAGCGTCCTACCACCACGAACCCTCTCACAAGCCGTTCCATTAGCAACACACACTGCGCTCATCGGACAGCAAACCCCCCCACAGCATTGCTCTTGTTCATCGCAGCAGGTGGTTCCGCAGCACTTATCACCAAAATAACAACAATGATCTCCGCAGCAAGTGTCATTGCTGTTAAACCCCGATTCGTTGGTGCCTCCACAGGTATGACCGCCAACACAGCATTCTCCATCGGCGTAGGTGCATTTCCCATTTGGGCAGACTTTGGCATTCTTAGGGCAACAAGTGGAGTTTATGCAAGTTGAATTTGCAGAACAGCACTTTGTGTCGCAGCAGGTTGAGAAGCCGTTATAACAGCAGGTGAAGCCACCGCACTGTTATGATTAGCAAAATGCTCTTCATCTGGGAAATCAGAACCAGGTGCGGAACTGACTTCAAATGGCGCGCCCGAAGGACAATCACCGAATTGTCTTTTATTGAGAAATGAAAATAGCCCAGATGCGCTGGCCGAATCTCCAAGAGCAGGCATTGCTGCTGCCATATCAAACGAGTCCGCATCATCATACCATCGGTCTGGTTGGCTGTTCAATTCTGGATGCTTTTTTCCTGGAAATATCTCTGCTCCACTCAGCAGAAGGTATTTTGACAAAAGAACGGAGGCCAAAAATAGGATATACTTTGGCATGGCTTTCGAACAGGTTCTACACGAATCCTGAGAAAGTGACAATCCAGTGACAGATTCATCGGTTTAAATACTAGTGTAGCATGTAACAACGCCAAGTCAGTTAGGTACATAGCGTTTCCGACCGCACAAAGCGTAGGTTCAGCCTCTGATTTATATATAGCCTCCAAACCGCGGGACGTAAACGAAAGCAAGCATTGTAACAGGCTCAGGCAAGTCGATTTTACATTTGATTGGTGGTCGATTGAACATTATCCCGAGCTTACTCTCCTCTGATTGGAATGCCAAGTACAGCGACCTGCCTGCTGCTCACGAACTTTGTTCACGAGGATCTCATATGAGGACAGTACAGACAGCGATATCGTTAAAAACTGGCAATTATATTCCTGCGGTTTTCTGCCTGCCATAGTATTGACACAGCTGACTAGAAAATCGCTGCTACTTGACAGCTAATGATTGTCTCTGTCTCTTCTTTCATAGCATGGCTTTATACCACATGAAATTCCAGTACTCAATCAAATCGATTAAATTAATATCTAGTTGTCGATATCTTTTATCTTAGAACGAGATCCACATACTTGTCTCGTAATATGAACTAGACGACTAATGCAGCTATCCAACCAACTTTGAAGCCCACTTTCGTCTATGCTCCTTAGTATGGCCAGCAATGCTAAGGGGTGGTTCGCTTAAAGTACCCCTTTATTTTGCGGTTACAGATTAACGGTCTCTCACTAGTATTAATTTGAGGTTACTTGTATACGTGGTTAAATCCCAGACATAAATTCGGCGCACAATATTACACCGAGGCTGGATAATACAGGCGGGATTTGCAGCCCACGACTGTTCATTATTATGGCTAACCTTCTTGTTTTGAATCCTTTATTTTCGGAAGCGTCCACTCCGGGCACTCATACGAACGAAATGCGGGGATACGACTTTTGAATCCGCTCGACAAACAGACAAGATGTTCACTTCTCGCTTCGCTTATTTGATGCTAAGCGGACAATTACGCCCACCAGTTACAACGTCATCTGTAAGCTACGACGCTTATGCGCACCACTTGGAAGATAGTAGCAAACCTACCAGTAACGGATTAAATTACTCTCCCAAGACCAAAAAAAATTTCATTGGATGGGCAATTAGTCTTTAAGCGCCTATGCATGTGGTCTGTAAGTAAACTCCAGAGCGCAGATACACTAAATAATAGGACTGCCTCGAAGTGTTGTTCTCGTAGAACTTCGTGTTGAAACCATACCAGGGGCTTCAATTGTCATTCATGAACTCTCACAGGTTCGAAAACTCATCAGTATGCAGATTTACACGTCGCAAATTCCAAAGTGTGTCATTACCGCTTTGCAGGCTCTACTGTTCTTCGGCGTCGTCCTGAACAACGTCAGTGTCGCCAAAGCCGATAACCCAATCGTGCAAACTATCTATTCCACGGACCCAGCACCAGTCGTGTATAACAACCGCGTGTACGTCTTTACGGGTCATGATGAGGACGGAGCAACAACATTTGTCATGAAGGATTGGAGGGTTTTTTCGTCGGCGGATATGGTCAATTGGCAAGATCATGGATCACCTATGAGCTTAGCTACCTTTAGTTGGGCCGATGCAAACGCCTGGGCGCCGCAAGTTGTTCCTCGCAATGGCAAGTTCTACGCCTACCTACCAATGCGACGTAGGGGTGGAAGTATGGCAATTGGTGTGGGCGTTGCAGATAATATCACTGGGCCATACCGTGATGCACTTGGAAAGCCTCTGGTGGAGAATGGTGAAATTGACCCGACTGTCTTTATCGATGACAATGGTCAAGCCTACCTCTACTGGGGAAACCCCAACTTGAACTTCGTCAAGCTGAACACCGACATGATATCCTACAGTGGTACTGTTAATAAGGTCGCTCTTACGACTGCTGGTTTTGGTACTCGTCCTGGTAATGCTCAACGCCCAACCACTTTTGAAGAGGCTCCATGGCTATACAAGCGTGACGGGCGCTACTACATGATGTACGCGGCCAATTGCTGCTCGGAGGATATTCGTTACTCAATGAGCACAAGTGCAACGGGTCCTTGGACTTACAAAGGGGTCATTATGGCTACGGCTGGTAAAAGTTTCACAAATCACGCCGGTATCATCGACTATTCAGGTAACTCGTACTTTTTCTACCATAATGGCGGCCTTCCAGGTGGTGGAGGTTATGCTCGTTCTGTTTGTGTCGAACGTTTTAACTACAATTCCGATGGAACCATTCCGACTATCTCGATGACCTCTAACGGTGCGCCTCAAGTTGGCACTTTAAACCCCTATGTACGACAGGAGGCCGAGACGATTGCTTGGTCTGTTGGTGTCGAGACTGAAGTCTGTAGTGAAGGTGGGATCAATGTTGGATTCATCAACAATGGTGATTACATCAAAGTCAGAGGAGTTGCCTTTGGCTCTGGTGCAACCTCATTCAGCGCTCGTGTCGCTTCTGCAGCTAGTGGCGGTAAAATCGAATTGCGGCTTGGTAGCACATCTGGTATGCTTGTCGGTACTTGCACGATTTTGAGTACTGGTGGATGGCAATCATGGACAACAGTGACCTGTCCTGTCAGTGGTGCATCTGGGACACAGGATTTGTTCTTGCGCTTTACTGGTAGCGGATCGAGCGAATTGTTCAACTTCAACTGGTGGCAATTTAGCAATGGCAACTAACAGACTACTAATCTGTGTTTGCTTTCCTCAGCATCCTCTCAGCAGGGGATGAAAACAATGATTCTTAGATTGCGACTATTCGCTCATCGCAGTGAAGCGTGTTATAGCAGTGAGGGTGGACTGGTGGGAAGTGCTGCTTAGGGGGAATTGCACATATAAGAATGTTTAGTATTCTTAATTTATTTTAGAACCTAATTTCAGTATCCAAAAATTTGTCAGGCATGAGCAATAGCTCAGTGCAAAAAGCCTATCTATGATCTAGTCCTCAAGAAGAAATTTTGGTAGCCACCGACTGCATTCGCGAAACGTTCTATGACGTCTGATCTTGATTAGATGTGCTTTAACTCGACAGATTTAAATAGTGACTATAAGTCAAATAGCTTAATTAGGGTCGAATGCTGTCATTAATACCCCTGGATAAAAAGTTTCGTTATCACGAATTATCGTTAGCATTAAATCCACAAGCTATGGGTACACCTTACAGTCGGTAGTTAATGTGTTAGATAGCGAGCAGAATCAGTAAGTACTCGTTACACATAATAGGTAACTAAACTATTGATCGGTCCTACTTTCAGTATGCTAATATAGTTGGTGTCAATCTACCGCTCGCTAACCTTCCCGGATAGCGACCACACGATCTCAAAACAATAAGAGGTGATGCCGCGGGAAGACTGATTCGCAGTGAGCTTTGAGACAGTAGATCTGAGTTGAAAGAATTGGACACACGTTTGCCTTCACAAGTGGAACGATGACAGCATGCAAGACAATGGTGCGACGGACAGAACTCGCAGAACTTGCACTACTTCTTAAAGCAGTGGATTTATATGGTTAAATCGATTTCGATCATTAAGTTGAAGACAAGTGTCGGAGAATCAGACCAAGTGGACTTATCATCGCTCGTTCACTTCACTGAAAAATTGAGAAGCATCGGTCTGTGAGACTAATCAACTCACGAGCACTTTGGAAGAGCAAAGCATGAGAAAAATTCACGAGAGAGACAAAGCCTCACAGAAACACAATCTGCATCGAGCGTTGACAACAGCATAGCTTTGAGCATATCATTGCTACAATCCGTGCAGCTGAAGAAAAAACAATCTGCAGCTATCATTATGCTATTTCCAATCCTCCTCCAACAATTTGGATCCCTTCTCCCAAATTTAGCTGCTGAGGCATGCAATGCCGCAAAAGTGCCGATAGCTTTACATCTTGATCATGAGCAGGATAAGGTGCAAAATTAGCAGCATCGTTTCCATTTGATTCGATAATGGTGGACATGTCTCATTTCGATAAACCAGAGAATCTGCAGAAGACGAAAGAATTGTCAGACTACTGTCATGCCCGGGAAATAGCCATAGATGCAGAGCTAGGACGCATTGAAGGAGGCGAAGATGGGGTGCAGGACACTGACAACTTGGAGGCGATATTGACTACGCCACAGGTTTCCATGCAATTCGTGAAACTGGCATCGATTTTCTTGCGCCTGCTTTTGGAAATGTCTATGGAGGTCACAGTTTGGAGAATCTGAATTGGGACTTCGCACGGTAAATCATGACTGTGTGACTTTGAGTGCTTTGAATACTTACTCGATACTGCAGTTTGCATGCTATTAAAGCAGAAATTGGTAGCCAGGTACAGCTAGTATTGCACGGAAATTCTGGAGATTTCGAAGTTGAAAAGTGCGTCAAATATGGAGTAGCTAAAATGAACCTCAACCGCCATCTTGCGCCATGGAACGAATCAATCAAAGGAGAGAGGAATTTCCTACCCACGACGGAATTCATGGAAAGAAGTATCCAAGAAGGCTCGTTCTTACGGAAACTTTCTCGTACGAGAAACTGAGGTTCATTTTAGCGGTTACCTGACAGAATCGAATCACTATCATAAGTCAGTGTTGATCATACTCTAATTCTTAACACAAAAGTGATACAAATCCAGTACGTGAACATAGGCCTAAGCTAGTCGCGTCATAATCGTCATCTTTCTTTTAAAATCTACAATAATGCGATCACCAGAAACACCACGGCCACTATTAGGTGACATCTCTCCTATGACGAGTTTAAAAGCAGAAATCCATAGAGCACATCCTGAACGTAAGCCAATGGCGAATAGTCAAGCTACAATGACTTATATGATTGAGTGTGCGAAGGAAGCGTAGCTTATGCTCACCCGCTGTAACCTCGCGCTTCGCCTCAAGATAAAAGAATTCTATAACGAAGGGTCTCGAGCTGGAAACGCCAGAACTGTATCAACTACGGCTAGGAAGCTCATTAAACTTATTAGAACCTCTTGAATATCTGGACTAGGAATAAACAGGAAGTTCATGGCGAAAATGAAGAATTATTTGAAATTCAAGATAACGAACAAATGGGTAGTCCATACCGAGCGTTTGCGTCTCGGCTGACTAATGCCGGTCACTCAGCGCGCTACAAGATCACCCGAGAAGGTGAGAAAATAGATATCTGGCGCGGAATCCATTGAACGCAAGAACATCCACCGTCTCGCTATGGAGTACCTTCAGAAGTTGAAACCCAAGTCCATATCGAGAACCAAGCCCAGGGTAACGTCAAAAACGAGTCTGAAGAGGACTTTTACAGTCAGTACCCCTACTTTGTCACTGTCAGCGATTCTGCAGATCTAATTCGCACAGGGCTGTTGGACATGCCGTTCTCGCCGGGTTAAGGTAAATTCATGCTCAGGTTTCCCTGTATATCCCCCTGCTGATACCGCCAGTGTGATGAACGCATCCCAAGCTGTACCCCGTGCGAGAAGTTCGGGCAGGCTTGTGCAGGCTACGCGCAGAGTCTGGTTTGGGTTACTCCAAACCACAAGACATACCAGCACGGTAGGTTGGCCCGTCTGACCCCTGAAACTTGCGTGAAACTGTACCTGCTTGGATAAACTGATTTGCACATTTGGAGAACAGGAGGGAGAAGAATTAGAAATCCACGTACGTCATGAACACATGAGCAAACATATCGATCATGCTTGCTAATGCAAAACTGAAGTTTCTACGTGGAAAGGCTTCGTTATCCATGATGCAAGTTCCGTCGACGAATTGATCGAGAGATGTGATATTGTTAAGGATGAAATCGACAACGGCAGAGTGTCCTGTCTACCCTTTTCAGTGTTTCAGAACTCACAATGCCATCTAGCAGAGGTCGAGGAAGCGGAGGCCTTGACAGAGTGCGACAATCTTTCAAGTCCCGGAAATGCCTCTGCTGTCGAAGACTCTCCGGTATTCACACCTTCAGACTTGTTCACATCATCACTGCAACTCCTCATGCCAACAGCAGATAGTCGATTGACTCCAGCAGAAGCTAATTTATTCCATCACTACGTATCGCGTGTTGCTCCTATGTTACTACCTCTTGACGATACAGGAAATCCGTGGGCTACCTACCCCGCGATGGCGTTACACTACAGCTCTGTTGGTCAAAGGTATCTATTATATGCGTTGCTAGCACATGCTGCGATTCTTCGTGCCAACATAGGCTCAGACACAGAGAACATGCTTGCTACGGGAGGGAAGTACTATGTCCTAGCGATGGAGGAACTACGAAAAAGTCTAGGAGAGGACAAGGTTGACTATGTAGGCTTATTGACAACAATGATGACCTTTCTTTTTATTGAGGTAGACATACCCCATTTATTTGCTAGAGAATCATGTGGTAACTTTATGACAGCTCTTCCGAGGGAGTTCAAAAACGTGGAGACATCACTACAATGCTGCGTGGGAATTCTTGCAGCAACAAGGAAAGCAAAAGAAGTGGACTCGCTCAGAAGATGCTTGGTATGCTACCCAGAGCTTTTATTTGCTCCGAATAATGAGCGAAACATCTCTTGTTCGGGGTGAACGATTTCACGCTCATCAGATCCGCGTGGATTCGGAGGACGATATCCCGCTCAAAGAATTCTCTACCAATACCCACTTTGGATATACCATAGGTGCATCAAACACTTTGATGTCTTGTATTTCAGAGATCAACGAATACTCCCAGCAAGGATTAATATTCGGTGTGGATGAGGCTACTGACGAAATTGTTGGGAATTTACGGAAACAATTAGAAGCCTTCAGGACAACAACAGCTGTAATTCAGGGTCTCCGAGTTAGGTCACCCAACGATGCCTGCGAAGGCTTGTGCAGGCATTCAGCCAAACAGGCACATCTTCGAGCGTACACTGCGGCTGCTCTTGTTTACTTCCATCACGAGTTCTACGCTCTACCTCCAATGGCTATGGCTCCTTACGTGTCGGAAATTCTGAATTCAATTTCCACTTTTACCGAGCTGACAAAAGGGAATTATACACTGTGGCCAATTTTTATTGCAGCTGTGGAAGCTTATGAGGAAGTTGACATCCGCAGGTTCCAAGAGCTGTTCAGAAACGCTTGTGCTGTTGGAATGGCAAATCGAGTGCAAATCCAGAAACTCGTAGAGCGCATCTGGAAAATACGAGAAGCCCAGGCCTCCCAGACAGGACAGGAGAAAGGCTTAATTAGAGTGGACTGGAAGAATGTCATGCATGTTCTCGAAATGGATGTGTTGCTAATATGAAATTACAAGTGGGCGAACTTCCACCGACGCAACCCTCGCTCTGGACTTCCATTCTTGGAGTTGCTCCGATCGACCTTTGCTTCATGCAAACCCAGAAATTTGCAGATATAACTTACAGCTAAACCCATCCGGTGCAGTCAATAGGTGGACCATGATAAGCCTTGCGCATCACGTCCTCTATGCCTCAACAGCCTGATCTCAGATCCGCGTTGACAGCTTCACACGCCAAGTACTCGTTGAAGAATCCCGAATCATTGCGCCTGTACGAATACGCTCGGTATACTCTTCCTGGAGGAAATACTCGGACTGTTATCCACGCCCGCCCTTTCCCGCTGACTTTCCTTGAGGGAATGGTAATGCGCTTATCTCAGTCGACGGAGACTATTATATTGACTTTCTGAACGAACATGGTGCAGGCTTGTGTGGGCATTGTTGCAAGGCCATCAGAGATGCTGTCGTCACCGCCTTGGACAACGGATGTGATTTTGGAGGCAGCACGTTAATGGAGAAAAGGCTGGCTGCGATCGTGACAGAAAGCTTCAAGTTCGACTTGGTTCGATTCACAAATTCCGCCACGTAGGCTACTCTTATGGTCGTCGGGGCTGCCGTTGATTTTACTGGACGAAAAAAGGTACTTTCAATTTCCTTGAAAACTAGTTCAGCGACTGAATTTCCATAGATCTTGGCTCCAATTACTATCACGGCAGTGTGTCCTCCTTCCCAAAGGTTGCCTCAGATTACAGCATGAACGCACATTACGAATTTGTCGAGGAATCTTACAATTATATTGCCGGAACGCGTGTAATATTATCGGCTCCCAGTCTCTCGCTGCAATATTGGTCGAACCTATGCAAGGGGCCGAAGGATGTATGCCTGGAGCCTACCGCTTCCTGACTTCCTTCGTGAAGCTTCACAGGAATTGTACGCCCTGCTTATAGTAAATGAAGTTATGACATCGAGACTGGCATATGGAGGCCTGCAAAGTAAACTCGGCATCAAGCCAGATCTCACCACTCCAGGAAAATATATTTGGGGATGGTCAAACTTTTGGAGGTTTTGGAGGGCGCAGAGACATAATGAAGATGTTTTCGCGGGGCATAGCAAGCTTGCTCAGTGTTTGCTTTGATTCACAACAGAATGAAAAGCTTCATAGATCATTTAACAACCACATGCTAAAGTATGGAATCAACATTGCCGCCAGCGGTTTCATCACATTGAGTATGGAGATCACAGAAGAGAACATCGAAATGTTTTTACACGTTCTGGGGAATTTTGTTCTAAGTGTCTAGCCGCTTTAACTTGAAAAATTACAGCCATAACTTCTCCCAACCACAAAATGGTGCAGAAATTATCCTGTTTCATGCTTCCACTATTGCCATAGCGATCCCCAGAGTTACTTGTAAAAGCCACGCCTCGCTATGATAAAAAATGGCAAAAACTTATCAATTTCACTAGATAATAATAGAAAGCGCGGAGGCATTTTCTAAGGAGAATAAACCTGTCCCGCAGGTTTACTGTTTTTTGCGCCGCAACACAACAAAGAGTTTTCGTGAGATAAGCTACCTATTGTAGACTGTAGTGCGCAGTTCCCCACCACCCCCCCTTTCATCCCGGTTGGACGATTGCCGAAGTCTCGCCATAGACTTCCCTACCTAATGATCGCTGGGGCGTCACTCCGGAATTCTTGCAAAGAAATGCCACGACTCTGTCTAGGACTTCAAGTTTACAAAAGATCCGCACTCGTTGCTTTACAACTGATCGCTGAATATCAAATACACCCAGTCTTCCCATCTCCCTCGTAATTTTTCTTAATTGCCTCACCTAGTTTTTCAATATCAACTTCCTCCAAATGGCAGCACCAATAACCACCGACTTTAGTAAAGTCAAAGCCCTATACTTCGATATATACGCAACACTCATAGATTGGGAGCCTTCCATGCTCACGGCTCTCTCCTCACTCATCCAGTCACTTCCAGAAAGCGATCCCCGACGTGCTGACACCCTTGCAAACCAACAAGCACTCCTCCGCGCCTACGCCTCAAATGAAAAGGCTGTCGAGCATGAGTTTCCCACTATGCCCTATCCTAAGATCTTAGAAACGGTATACGGGCGCCTTGCTTCGCAATTTGCAGTGGATTTTGAGGAGAAAGATGCTGTGGCTTTCGGGTACAGCATTGGAGCTTGGGCTGCGTTTCCTGATTCCGTGGCTGGGATGCAGACTCTTTCAAAATATTACAAGCTTTTTGCGCTTAGTAACGTGGATAATGAGAGTTTTGGGAGGACGCTTGCTGGCCCGTTGAAGGGGGTGAAGTTTGACGGTATTTATACTGCGCAGGATATCGGGTCTTATAAGCCAGATCCGAAGAACTACAAATACTGTCTTGAACACATCAAGACAGATTTTGGAATCGAGGCGGAGGAGGCGCTTATCGTTTGCCAGAGTCTCGATATCGATCACGTTGGTACGAAGGCATTGAACTTACAGCCTGGGATTTGGATCGCAAGGAATCGTGGCGTCACTGCGATGGGGGGGAACTACGAAGAACTGCTCGCAGCTGGGAAAATAAAGCTTGGAGCAACTTTTGATTCGCTAGGAGAGTTGGCAGCAGCGGTTGAGCAATCGTTAGAGAAGCCTTGACCAACGGGCCTTAATTTGAGCTAGCGGTAGGTATCCTCTTAGATGTCTTTCAAATCCCGAGCTTACTTTCACTTGATTGGAAAGCCAAGCAAATTGCCCTGCTCGGCATCATTTATATATGTGGGGATCTGATACTATGAAGACAGGACGAAGCATTGCCGAAAGTGTTTGTCTGGAGTTCAAGTCAATCGGCGAAGTATCACACCATCGACTGAAATCAATATCGCTAGTTTTTCAAAGTTGAGACTTGAAATTGAACTTCTAGTCTCAGGGTAATCGAACAGGTGAGAATGTGAGGAAATCACCACAGAGACAAATCATCACAGAAATACAATCTGCATCGAGCGTAAATCGGTAATCATCGTTCTCTCGAAGCTATCAAGCGTCTCAAAACTCTCGTCATGGATCAAGTCCACGCTGCCAAGATTATATCCGCAGCCCTTTCCGCGATCCCATAAACAGCAGTTTGAATATGTCCACTGACCAAAATCGGCATCACACTCGCATCCACAACTCTCAATCCTTTGGTACCATAGACCTTGAGCTCAGAACTTACAACCCCGCCATCTTTTTCAGGTAACATGGCACAAGTTCCCACTGGATGGTAAAAGGTGCTCACTGATGCACGCGAGTATGCTTCCCATTCCAGATCAGTTTGAACTGCTGGCCCAGGCTCGAATTCAGCTGTCCAGACATCTTTCAACGGTGCCGTGTTAGCTATCTTTCGAATGTATTTCGCTAGTGCAACGTGTGCAGCTCGATCTGTCGGCGAAGAAAGATACTTTGGATCGATAATTGGCGGAAGCGATATGTTTGGGGAGGCAATATGCACACTTCCTCTAGAAAATGGATGCATGAGGCCAGCAATTAACGTAAAAGTCTCGATTCCGTATAACGGGTCACCAGGTAGTGGATATCCCTTGATACTTGTTAGGCCATCTGAGAAAATTACTTCTATCTGCGGCACTGAGGAATCGGATAGCAGTTGGAGAGTTTTTCTCAAGGTGACTGATGAGGCTCGCGAAACCTCTTTCCTTGCCAAAGCCGCGACTGATGATTGCGCATCGGGAGATACGGACGACCACGGTGCGTAAACAAAGCCACTACCAGTGTAATCATACCTGGAAGGTTGTTTGGCGTTGTAGAGTGCTATTTGCTCAGCCGCGTACGTGGTGTTGAACTTCAGACGATCCACTCCCACAAAACCAGGCTTCAGGATATAAGATGCAGCTGTTCGCGGATGATCATGCAGGTTTTCGCCAACACCTGGTAGTTGATACAACGGTGCCACTCCAGCCTTGGTAAGAGCAGCTTTGTCACCAATTCCAGAAATCTCAAGCAACCCAGGCGACTGAAACGTGCCGGCGGAGAGGATGACTTCTTTCGAGGACTCAATCACGGTGCCATCCTCCAAAACAACACCCGTGGCTTTCCGCTGATTGTTGAATTTGATCTTCGCGACACGAGTGTTGAGTCGGAGAACAAGATTTGAGTTGGCATGTTCTAGGTACTCCGTGCTGTACGATCGAGTATAGTCTAACTCTCGGATATTACTTGGCTGCCGAGAAACCCCAACTGGATTACCATCAAGAGATTCTCTATTGTTTGCGATTCCCAGCTTCTGCATTGCTGGCGGAAATGATAATTGATGCGTCGGTACGATGCGGTTGATGAGAGTTTGAATGTAACCGCCTTGAGCGACACCATCAGCCCCGTATTCTGGCGATTTGGTGAAATTTTCCACCTTCAGCATGCTTCGATAGATATTTCTCCAATTCCATCCTGGATTCCCCAGCTCCTCCCACGCATCGTAATCAGCTTTTGCTCCACGATCCCATACCATCAAATTTAGTGCCGATGAGCCTCCAAGAACCTTTCCTCTGGTCATTCTGATAGATCGATTGTTTGCATCTGCTTGAGGCGTGGTTGTGAGATTCCAATCATATTTGGTGCCGAATGTAGAACCTCTTCTGCCTGGATTGATGATTCCTTGATCTTGACGTCCATCTGAGCCTGCTTCTATGACAAGAATACAGTCATTTCCGAGCTTTCGACTAAGTCGAGTTGCCACGGTCAGTCCAGCGGTCCCTCCGCCAATGATTATCTACAAGTTGTCAGCTTTAAATCGTATCACTGAGATCCGATGTTTTGTACGAAGTCAAATGTAGTTCCAACTGCTGAGCAGTTATCGCGAACAGGATTCTGGCTCGATTCTGCTTTGGTAAGAGCAGAAGCCAGAGAGATCCAGAGGAGAGCAATACGAGAGCCATAACTCAATCGTCGGAAGAACAACGTATACTCCATAATGACCTGTAATTACGAAGAAGGAAGAGCGGCAGTAAAATGAGAGAGCAACAATCCAAGCCATAGCTGAGCGGGGTCTGCCCTTTATGAAAGCTGTTCAGGCGCGATGCTAACTCGAAGTGAAGAAGATAGATGCAATACTACCATGAGGCGGTCATCGTGATAGGGCGAGGAGAATGTCGTGCAGCAAAGACTCTCTTTAACCACACTTGATTTGTTACCACATTCATGGCGAGTCTTCGCCAATCTGCTTGTCAGCCGCCTCCGATTTATCAGGAAATGCAGCACCACTCGAGGTATGCAGTAAGCAGGTGCAGGTCTATAGTAGATGCACGTGATCCCGGCCATATTCTGGAACAGTCGGCAGTGGGGGTTATTGCGTGACTGCATACGAGCCGAACGAATATAAAATCGAACGGTGACTGTCGATCTGGATGTTCACATCGTTATGTCCTTCTTAATCAAATCAGTCATGTCTCAAACAACCAAAGAAAACCTCTTGCTCTTCGGAGCCACCGGGTATATTGGCACTTACATTACAGAACAAATTGTGGCCAACAAGTCATCCTTTGGCAAGATTGCTTTATTCACATCCGCAAACACGGTGGAGAAGAAAACGGATGTTATCAACAAACTCAAGAGTGCTAGTGTAGAGGTCATCGTTGGCGATGCATCAAAAAAAGAAGATGTTGTTAAGGCGATGCAAGGTGTGTACCCCGCTTTACACATCCCTCTCACGGAAGCTAACATCAGGAAGGAATTGATACCGTCGTCAGCGCCGTAGGACGGACGGCCATTGCAGTGCAAATTGATTGGATCAAGTGGACTACAGAAGCTCCATCAGTCAAAAGATTCTTCCCGTCCGAATATGGCACCGACATTGAGTATAATGCGGAATCTGCAAACGAAGCCCCTCATCAGCAAAAGTTGAAAGTTCGTAAAGCTTTGAGAGAAGCGCAAAATCTTGTTCACACTTACGTGGTCACCGGTCCATATGCTGATGGTCGCAATGGGACATTTTTCGGATTCAATCCAGCAAGAGCTGAGCTTGGTGGCTTTGATGTCAAAGGCAAAAAGGCCGTATTGACTGGCGACGGAAATGGCAAGATCAGTTTGACTGGTTTGGTGGAGTAAGTCGGATTTGACGGAACTTGTTGTGGCACTGAATATTGCAAGCTGACTCTAATAGTGTTGGAAAGTTGACGGTGAAAGCTCTCCTCCATCCAGAAGCTACCAAGAACAAGGCTCTCAAAGTCAACTCGTTCACAACTACTGGCAATGAGATCGTTGCCGAGTTTGAGAAACAGCTCGGTGAAAAGTGGGATGTCAGCTATACCAGCTTTGAGAGACTTCGCGAGCTCGAGAAAGAGGCATATGCAAGGAAGGATCCTGCCGCAACGATATTCACCCTTCGCAGGCTATGGGCAGAAGGTGGTACTCTTTACGAGAAACGCGATAACGATTTGATTGATGCTAACGACATGGAGACGTTGGAGGACGCTGTGCGCGCATCCATCAAAGCGCAGCAATCTTCTTAGATTATATGACACATTTGTGGTAGCAGAAGGATGATCGATATCAATTTGCATATTGAAATACTATTCTTCTCTGGCAGCTTATTTGTACGATGTTTTTCTAGCGGAATATCATTTGCGATCCACAGCGAGCAGGCCAACCTCGGCGGCGTGCATAGATCACTGCACAAATGCTACAGTAGTCCTCAAAATATAGAAAGAGATTTAGGAACAACTGGTTACTAGAATAATGCTGAAAAATCCTCACGGGTAAAACTAAATTCAGGGTCTCAAAGTCTCGGACACTGAATCAGGAGTGTGGATAAGTGCAGGTGCTGCAGACTTTTCGTTTCAAAGCACTGGCCGGCTGCTTATCTTTCCGAAACAAAGCAAGACCTATACCGACTGCATCCAAAAGCGGTCCCGGTGGTCTTAAGACGATTTAAACCTTCGAAGAAACCGTGATTTGTGGTCAAGTCTTTGCTCTTCATATTTCAAGACATGATTTAGATGATTGGAATGAGCCGTCATGAGTTATTGATCCGCTCCCAAGATAAACGCAATATCTACTAAAGATTCCTACCAAAGCTCTTGCTGGGATTCTCGGTCAAATATTTGAATCATTTAAGATTCCCGCAGATGTGGATATGAAGAGTCAGAGGAAGACACCGCTGTTGAATTCATTGTGATACCGACAAGAGCGAAAGAAAGAGCAAGAGCCCATCAGAAGCTTGTTCCAATGAGCGACCGGAGTTGTGTTTCTATGTGTCTTCATCTAGAATGATTTAAGGCCAATTGTCGGTGCGATATGAGGATGATTCTGGAGGACGGTTGTTTGAGAAGCATAGAGGTCAAAGGCACATTCCACTTTGCGCCCTTGAAGCATACATTATGCTCTCGGTTCAAGCATTTGACTTTAGTTTTCAAGTTCTGTAGTCTTTAACAACGGATACTGTCTTTAGTGATTGATTGTAGGTATTTTGTGAGAACAGCAGCGGGATTGACCATCATTTTGTACGGCGGGAATTGCTGTTGGCAGTTAGTTGTTGACCGCCACTGAACGCGGACATCTCTCTCGATTGCACAATGCTTAAGATGTGGAAATGAACCGTTTGGGTAGCAATTCGATTGGAAATTTCACTTGATGCTATCGATGGTATTTGATCTAGAACGGAACGATCTGGGACCAGGACATTGACGGTCAAATTCGTAGGTCCGTGCGTTTGCTCCTGTACTTTCGCACTTTCCATCAACACCAAGCTTTGTTTCTGCACATTTTCCACTCAACACCAACGTTTCTCCTCATTTCCTCCCATTGAACAATTACGACACCTCTGCGAATGCTACGATTCCACGCGTCGAAAACCACGACAGCAACCCGTCCGCCTTAGCTGTACCGTCCAATCTTGACAATGTCGCCTCCAACTATTCAATTGCCTTTCTCGGGTTCCCTTAGAACCAGACGAATATGCCAGCCGGCTGCAAGGAAGTTGTACGAATGGCGATTGATCCGGCGACGTAGTTGCTGTTTGAAACAATCATGAGATGATGTCGAGTGATAGAAGGAATTAGCATAGGCTTCGAGCGCGACACAATGAGCTGCGACGGAGCAACGACAATCACCACCCTGATGTGCTTTGGTTCAACTTCGAAACAACCTCGAAACCATTCCAGAAATGGAATTTCCCTACCCAGTTCAGCAAGATGCATCCCTCTGCGAAATCATACACTCGGTCGGAATTCGCTTGGGGAGACTTAGCATGACATGCAGATGTTTGGGATAAAGATCAAACGGCACGGCTGATGCTTGGAGATGAACGATATGCATACCTGTTTGCTGATGGCTAACTTATGGTTCATCATTCATCTACCTATCTATCGACTTCAAAGGACTTCTTCCGAACTCTTCCATATCCGCGGGTATATCTGACCTCCCAAACCCTCTTTTCTATCTTCGATCGTTGCTGAACTCGAATATCTCTCGCAGTCTCGTCACGAACTCCAAGACACCCCCAATTTAAACGCCGTCCAAAAGCCAAATCCCAACCCAAATGCAAAACACCCATCCAAATGCTAGCATAGATTCATTCCCAGAATGTTACATAACCTCCAATTCCAACGGGCCGCCAAATCAATAGCATCCACGTTCAGCATGCCGATTTGCGCCTGTTCAAGCTGTCTCCATATCTTCGTTCTTGTTTCAATCGGCCACGCTGGTATGTCCCAGTATCTTGTCACCAGCCCAAGGTTTGTAGCTTTCTCAATCTGCGAATGGACGACTTTGATCTGCGACTTGGTCAGACCACTTCGCGGTATCTTGGAAGACCCGAACAGCTTCGTCAGAGAAGTGCTGCTATAATAAGAGTTGGTGATGTTGTAAGCGTCCGAAAGTGCATCTAGTGGTGCATCGAAAAATACATCTCGGTATGTTGAGTTCGAATACGAGGACTCCAGTATTGCTTTAAATGGAGTATTACCAGTTCCGATATGCAGGAGCGGGCCAGGTACAATGTCTGTACCGTTCCAATATGTAAGCCAACCGTTCTCACGAAATCTGTCTAGCTGTTTCTGCACTGCATTCAATGTCGCATGCCCTTCAGTTTTCAGATCCGTCATCAGGATGAATCCTCGTGAAGGATCTACATCCCAAACTCCATTCTTGGTCGGGTCGTTTGCCGCTTTACCCATGTTCTGATTTTCTAGTATTTCGAAGAGAGGATCAAGATAGAGGGAATTGAAAGTTCGATTTCGTCGCAGAGATTGAACCTGATGTCCAACGAAGATCTCATCGCCGACAAGGTGGCAATCTGCTTCCACCGCCGTGATACCCACCGAAAGGGAGTCGAACAGAGGCACTCTTCGCCAATAATCATTATGAGAGTGTATTGGTTTCGGCTGAATGTCACGACTGAAGTCTGGTCGCCATGATGGCGGAGCAGGTGTCACTGTTCCGGGTTCCACCCACGCGTCGACGATTGCCGTCAGCCCATTCTGTGGCAATACCATTGGTGAAAGTCTTCGTATCAAACTCGCGAGCACAGCATGATGTGTACTATCAAGGCATTAGAAAGGTTGGGTGGAGAGCTTAGGGGCCACTTACATGTAGGCGATTCCCAAACATACTCCCGTAACAGAAAGAAATACAAGGACTCTCTTCAAGAGCTTTATCCAGGGCGATGATCCATTCTCGCTGTCAGACCTGCATCGTCGCTTGAACGAACGGCCGAGACTTTGGAAGCATTTTCTCGTTCTTGGTGTTTCCTGTGCCAGTCCATCTTCGATCTCAACGATGGTCACCTTGATACCGGTATCAGACTTCTGTTTCTCGTAGTCCATAGCTGCGATATGTTGGCGTTATACAAAGGTCAGTTTTCGAAATCCGCTCTGATCAACAGCGCAGTATTTTACACGTCCTCAGATTATGAGTTGTTTGGCTAGTGTCATAACATTGTTCGTCCTTTTGAAGAATCATGGGAAGCGTGACGGGAAGCTGTGGAAGTGTCACTCATTTAATACAAAACCAACTCCTCGGACTTGGACACAGATCCGTCTTGAATACTTAACCGCCGAGACGAGTGAATAATTGATCACTCTTTCGTGCTTCTGTGGCGTCTCTCCGAGGGTCTGGATTCGGCGTTCTAGCTCGCTTGGCTCTGGAAAATTCCCACACGTCCGGAGAAGCTTGTCATCTTTAGGAATGTGAGAAAGGAAGCGCCGTGCAATTGCTTAATTGCCAACTCGCAGCATCTCGGCTTGAATTGTTCTCATGGAGCTCTCGAACAATGTTGAGGTACGAACAAATATCATACAATCATGAAGATATTTACGGCCTCCAACAATAGTTTTACTCGAGCAGATTCTGCTCATCATCAAAGATCCTCCTGCCGATGGACCCCGGATCTGAGCAGTACTCCCAATTCATTGGAGGAAATTCGAATATGTTCTCCCCTGTGATTGACCTGCAGATGTTGGACCCTGAGCGCCACTCGAAGCACGCGATACTAGCCTAATCACATCTCACTCGGTGAAGACGAGCCAACCGAGGAGACGAGTTCGTTCAAACAACAACTTATCCTCGCATGGGGATTGCGCTCTTATCTCAATCTGGGGTTTATCGAGAAGGCGACCCGCACGACCACGAGGGAGGCCCTTGCTGTGAGGATCATGCGGGTCGCGGAGGAGGAGGTCTAGACCTTTTCAATACTTGATGGACCACGTGCGTTGAAATGTCGGAAAACAAACAATTCTTGACTAAATAGCCGTCTTTTGATTCTCCGGTCTTGGGCAAATATCGCTTTATAACATCGGGTCCATATTGTGCGAGGAACTCATGACTTCGCTCATGATGTTGAACTGGCTCACGTCTCGCATTTTCCCTATAGTGACGAAGGTATTCAATGAAAGAGCAAGTCCGCAACATTTATTTTGCTTCATGCTTCTCCTAGCTGACTTGGTCACGCTATGAAAAGCAAAAACAGCAATTCGGAATATACATTCATACCACGACTTTCACTTCAAAGGACGCACTTGGAAGTTGTCCGTTTTGGGAACAGTGCAGTGTTATCACCCGCTTGATCTGGCGCACGCACTGGAAAGCGGATACCGGGAGATCACTGTTTCCATCAAGATGGAAACAAATGCTGTGAGGATACCGTTTACCGTGTGCTGCAATTTCCATTGGGACAATATATCTCACATATCACGTGACAATTTTCGCATCTCAGCTACCTTCCTATGCTTTTGCATATGTTCGTACATCATCTTCCAGCTCCAAACTACACGTAGGTTCGTTAATATATCTAGCTCTCGCTCCACAAAATGTTGTCCCAGGAACGTGGGAACGGCTGGTTGCCGATATATCCTGGCCCACGCAGCCCACCGATGAAAGCAGATGCACGTGCAAAGACGTGATCAATCTTGTCCCAGCCTTTCAGTTGTCGTTCTCATTCTCAACTGACGATTGAACACGATTTATTGACTTGTGTAATGCATGAACCAGAAGATACAAATGATTTCATCCCCGTTTTCGAGATACACAGCTTCATTGCAGGCTCGTGTCGAGTCGTCGGCGATATGGGTTTCTCTGAGGGATGTGCTGATCAAGAATTGGCATCTTGGCTTCACAGCTTTTGGTGGGCCACCAGTGCATTTTCAAATTGTAAGTTCTGCCATTGACTTTGAAAATGAGTTTTTACTGATTATTGTTGAATAGTTGCATAAAAAGTTTGTGGATAAACATAAATGGATTGATGAACAATTGGTGAGCCTTTGACTCATTGATCGGGAGAAGCTCGTCAAAGCTAATGAGAATTTTCTAGTACCAAGAGCTGTTTGCGTTGAGCCAGGCGCTTCCAGGGCCGGCGAGCACCAAAATGTTGTTTTGTATAAACTATATTCATGGAGGATTTCTTGCGGGCTTTCTTGCATTTGCTCTATGGTGGTATGTAATTTGAATCGCCGCTCAGCGCGCCAAAAGTCGAGATCAAAATCTGACCGCGCGATTAGTATTCCAGGAGCCCTAGGCATGTTTGGTCTTTCACTGGGAGTGGCACGCATCGGTGAGACACTACCTGCGCCGGTCTATGCTCTTCTCTCTGGATTGAACGCCGCAACTGTCGGTATCATCGCTCTGGCTGCAGTGCAACTGGGAGAGAAAGCAATCACAGACAAACTAACTCGATTGCTGGTATTTCTCGGCGGAGTTGCGGGAATGCTTTATACCGCTCTCTGGTATTTTCCAGTTCTCATGTGCGGGGCAGGGATTGCTACCTTGGTGTGGGATTATAAGTGGCTGCAGAATACATACAAACGGACCATCAGAAGACATCAACGAAATCGATCAGAAGAAGAGCCAAATGAGGCAATCGATCCACCAGTACAGTTGGGTATGTCTCAATCAGCAGATTTAAATGACCCCGGCAACGCAATCCATCATCGAAATGTTGCCGCCGGTGAAGAGGACGATATAGCGCTCGCCAACCGTGAACCTGCAACCATCACCGCCGTTGACAGTACCAATCCAATTCTAAACGTGGACTCACAGAGGGTCGTGCCACCCAACATCGAACTAAAACTCATTAGCTGGAAAACGGGTCTCTACGTCCTCGCGGGATTTATAATCTCCTTCATCGCAGTTATGCTTACCAGAAGTCTACTCAAATCTCGCCCCCGAGGCGTATCTCTCTTTGCAAATCTCTATCTCGCAGGTACGATAATATTCGGTGGCGGACCCGTCGTCGTTCCACTTCTGCGCGAGTACGTCGTAGCTGAAGGCTGGGTCTCTCCGCGGAATTTTCTTCTCGGTCTGGCACTCATTCAATCATTTCCTGGCCCTAATTTCAATTTCGCTGTTTATCTCGGTTCGCTCGCTACTGTTGGAACCTCACTCTCACCTGCTTCAGGTGCAATTCTGGGGTTTATTGGGATATTCGCCCCGGGTCTTATCATCGTCACTGCAGTTATGGGACTTTGGAAGACTTTACGCTCTCGTCGGTGGTTGTTGTCGATTTTAAGAGGTGTAAATGCGGGAGCTGTTGGGCTGGTTTTTACTGCGGTGTATAAATTGTGGCAGATTGGGTTTGTGGATGCGGATCATCAGAGTGGTAGTCCGTTGGGGAGAGATCCTTGGTGGGTTGCTATTACGGCGACGAGTTTTGTGGGTGGTGCTTGGTTTGGGTTGAGTGCGCCTTTTGCGATTCTGCTTGGGGGCGTGATGGGGTTGACTTGGTATGGTGTGGTGAAGGCATGATAAATCTCCATCTTCTTGAAGCCGCCAGTTGCCTGCCGGTGGATTCCGTCGAAGAGTGAAAGTCCTCTGGAGTCACAATTACATTCAGTCCGACGATCTTCTCATCCGGCTTCTGCACCGTATCTGGCTTTGAGCCGCTCGCTGCGCGAATTCGCTCCGCATTCGTGCAGGTTGCTTTCTTGAACTCGCCAATGCCACTCCAAATTTTGATATCGATTTCCAACTACTTTCATCGACAAAATCCCAATTACTTTAGCAGACGCTCCGCAATCACAAATTCACGAGCAGTTAGCAGACTGTTTATTACCTCAATCGCCAGTTTTCAAATAATCTACCGTTTTCTACGACATAATGGACTATTCAGTCCTGATTTTCCGCAATGGTCAAGATCTCCCGGAGGATTTGCCAACAGGAAAACAATAATGTCGGGAAATACTGTGCGATATCTCTGTAACAAGTCCGGGGTCCTACAAAACCCCTTGTCGGTTCGCTTCCACCCCGCCTCAAACGTCGCAGATCTTCGGGGACAAGATTCTTCGAAACAAACGACAATCGCGGACTTTTCATATGTCGCTCCTGGTAGACTTTATATCGCTCAAAAATCACAGAGAACTTCTCTTCACACACGATATATGATGTCTCACAGCTTACGAAAGTTCGCCACAATTCTTTCCAAGATTTCACAAATAGCTTCCTCATACCCATCGTCGCCGCCAAGCTTTCAACATCAAAGCGTTCTTCGGTAGATACAGTCTTTGAGACCGCGCACTGAACATCGAGAAGCTTGTCTAACATCTTGGAATGTTTAGCCGTTTGACAGCTTGGATGAAGAGACATGCCAAGAGAGCCAAGTGAGCTTCGAGGCAAAGCTTCGTGCACGGCATAAGCTTATGTATTGCCCTTAAATCAACTCTTCGTCCAATCTTTCCAAACTTTTAGTTTCTCTTGAGTTTATTCTCATCTGTCCCCCATATCAAGTATACCTAAGTCTCTTGCGCCTAGGAAACTTTTTTTTTTTTTTTTTTTTCGCAAATCGCATCTGAACGAATCACCCTTCTCAAAATTTCTAGGATTATTCTATGACCACGAAGGCGAGGACGACAACGACTATCGAAGAGAAGGTTTTGCATACAGCCGACAAGCTGGATCGACCAGTGGCTCCACATCGATACTCCTTCCCGATTGCAATGGAAGAGGCAACTCTCATTGAAGTCGAGGAGGGAAGTCATAGTGGTGGTTTCCAGCGGGATCTGTATGGATGTGCCAGCTGTTCGGAAAAGATTCCTCATACAAAAGCTCGAATCTTATGCAGTCGATGTCTAAATTACCATTTATGCTCGAATTGCTACGTTATCAAGAGCTATGCCAAACCTCATGTCGACTCGCATCAAACCAAAGTCATCACAGTATCTGGCTTCTTCGTCCCAGGCGCACCAACAGTCCCTCCAAAACCAGCTCCAGCGTTACCGCCTCGAGCAAACCCCGCGCCCGCATTATCGATAAAAGACACGGTTGAAATTCCTACAGCTGATTGGGGATTATTATGGAATATCATGAAAGCTCCATTGCAGAAGAAGGGTCCAAAACTCCCAACTAAAGATAAAGATGGCCTGGCGATCGAGGTGAAGGATGTGACAGGAGGAGGCATGGCAAGTGGGATGAGCAATCTTCCACCCTCACCACCAACTTCTGTAAATCTTCTCGACGATGCAGCTACCACGAATCCAATGCCCGAAACCTGGGAACCTTTATTTGCTGCAGACTCCACACCGACACCCATCTTCATCGCCCTGATGAGCACAATTTTCAGCCATCTCGACCCGTCACGCACCGGTTATTTGAGCCCAGAAACATACTCTGACTTTCTTGACACTCAAGGCTATCAGTGGAATGCGAATGTTTGTAAGTAGTGAATACATCTCTTCCCAGTAGTCTTATACTAATAAAATTCTCTAGGGAAAAATGCACTGGACTCAGAAAACAATGAGAACCCCAAAGATTTAGCAGACGTTGAATTTGGAAATTACCTCGCAGAAATGAGCATCTCCCACGAACTTCGCGTTCGCTCAGACAACGAATCAACTTCCGAATCAGTAGAAGCATCATTAGATGCAAATCAAAACTACAGTCCGAAAATGCCAATGTTGACCAAACAAGGCTTCATGGATCTGAGTGCGATCGAATATCTGGTAAATCCGGACAAAGCACTTGACTACCTACGAAAGGCTCTCGACGAATACGGAATTTGGAAGGGACTGGGGGAGATGCCACGGGTTGCTCTCCCTAATAATTCGTTGCCTAAAGCGTCTCGAACTAAATCGAATGCAACGGCGGAGAGAAATGTTGTAGTCGAAGAAGGAAAGGAGACGATGAGCCCCCCGCCACTGCCAAAGCGTAGTCCAACCGTGGAGGCAAAGGCCAAGACACCGGGTATGAAGGATGAATTTGATGAGGTAGATTTGAAGGAGAAAGTGTCTAATAATACTGATCTTGACTCGGTCGCGGAGTCGAAGGACGAGAAGACTGTCGACGCAGGGACTGGAGAGCAGGCATCTAGTCCTGGCGAACAGAAGGTTCAAAAGGAGAATGATGAGAAGGCAAATGATACCATTACAATGGTATTTGAGAAGATCTAGATAGCAGATAATTACAAATCTCACGTCAAAAAGGGTATCCTATGCATACAAAGATCCACATAAAGATGTGCCGAATACCGCGCTCAATAAGCATTCATCAGAACTTCACTAAACTCGTGGCAATTTCGGTCCCTCTGTCTTGTATGGATAATCCTGTATGGATAGAACTACTATACTGGATTGTATGTTCCAAATGCTTTGTATTTCCGATGTATTTATTACATAGTAGAAAGTAGAAAGTCTTCAGAGGGGGCCCGTCATGTGATATCCGGTCGAACTTCGGATATAAATGTAACTGGCGGGTTCATCTCATGTCCTCACCCCTGACCTTTCCAACTCCATCATCAAACTCATCTCAACGGTCAATCGCGCGAAACTCACTCTTGGGATGCTTCTTCGCCGAAAGGTGTTTTCTTCTAACACATTTCAACAGTCTCGACGCTTTATATCAACGAAGCTGCGCAATCGCGGAGTCGTGTCATCCGTTATTTGCACCCCTCGAACGCCCGATGGAGTGAGAATTGCTCTCTTCAAACGAAATCTTGAAACTTCGTATTACGCGTATGTCAATCTTGCTCGTTGAATACCTCCAAACTTACACGTATATCGAGAAAAATTAGCTAACGAGGTAAAGTGGAAAATGGGCCCTATGCAGCGGCTCCATCGAAACTAGTGACCAAAACCCAGAAGCAGCCGCAAGCCGAGAAATCCTCGAGGAAACCGGACTGGGTAAAGACGACGTAAAACTGCTTACTCGAGGCGCTCCGTATCAGCTAGAGGACAAAGAGTTGAACACTCTGTGGACTATTCATCCTTTCGCCTGGCAATTTGATGAAAATGCATCTGGAAAAACAATCACGCTGGATCGCGAGCACGAGAAATACGTTTTTATAAGTCCCAAGGACGTCAAAACTTACGACCATGTACCGCAACTAGATCTTGCACTTAAGCGTGTCTTGATCAGTCCCATGTTAGAAGAGGGGCTCGCAGCATTATCAGCCAAGCATTCAGAGGGCACGCAGGTCCTGGCGGTAGAGGCCTTGACTTTACTCCTGAATATTGTGGAGTACTGGCAAGTCGGATTTTTCGGTTCTAAGAAAGAGTTTTGGGACGAGCTGAGATGGGTCGGATGGCACATCATGAAGAACGGTCTGCCGGCCGTTGGCAAAGGGCCGGATCCTTCCCTTGCGATTTTAAAGGTCCTGCTCGCCGTTCAGGCAAGACTTACGGTTCCGGGCGGCGTATCGAGGCACTTGGTGCATAAATTAGAAAGATTACAGATTTTCACGATTGATGAGATAGCGTTGATGATGGACTTTGCGAGGACTCGTTCGGATAAGCTTGTGAAAGTTCCTCATCGTAAAAAGTGGCTGGAGAAAACTGTTTTCTCTGAGCTATGAGTTTGGAGTCATTACCAGATAACATCATCAGGGTCTGGTTGAATATTGTATAGTTACGCAAAATGGGAGAATGAGGAGTTGATCTCCTGGTCCACGGATGGACACGATTTTGGGACATGAATACATTATGGTATAATCTAAACTCTCTGAGTATGTACTACTTCAGATAATCTCCCTTTTGACATTGCTTTTCATAAATCATTACTTGGACTCAAGCAAGTGAACCACAACCGAGTTAGCATCTATCAAACCATCTAACTAAGAGTTGGGACACATCCACAAGCCGAGCTGACTCTGGAGACAACGTCGCCACCGCACGCAGAGACCAAGTATGGCTTGACGGCACTGACACTGGTAACAACGGTCTTAGTAAAGTTACCACAGAACTGCTGAGACTCGAGGAGACGGCCAGTTGGCGAGGTGGCACGGAGAGCCCGGAGACAGTTATCAGCGCTGCAGCCGCAGACACCGTTGGGGAGGTTGTAGCTGTCGACTCGGGACAAGTGGTCGAGTGGGTTGTCGGATCGGCGAGCGTCTGCTCCAAGACCGCGCTTGGCGAATGCCTTCCAGATACTGCATTGGTTGGCACCACCGGTTCGGGCCTTGTCGGCATCGAGAATGGCATCACGGGCAGTGATGAAGGTTGGGCGACATGGTTGACTATTTGTTATTAGCTTTACTCTTCAAGAGTAGATGATTCAAAACTTACAGCTTCATTCCGTCAACGACCAATTGCATAGCCAAAAATCTTCCGTCAGTTGGGATACCGTTGGAGAAGGTTGGGAATCTGTTGGCGTTGATTCCGTGGTCGTCAATCAAGTTCCACATAACCTCGTAGAGCATGGTGGCCCAGATGGTACCGATGAAGTGAACGAGGGTGGAGTTGTTGGCGGTAGAGTAGATCATTGGGTTGACAGATTGGCTGGTGGAGTAGAGGTAAGTTCGGATACCTGATGGTCTACCTCTGACATAGTCACCCATTGGGTAGTTGGTCTTTCTTGTGTCGCTGGTCTTGAGGTGGATTGCGATAGCCATGAAATCTCCCCATCCCTCACCCATTCCACCGGCTTCGGTGGTAGAGAGACATGCAGAGTTCAAAGCTCCTCCCGTGAGACGGTTGGAGAGACCGTGAGTGTATTCGTGGATGACGACACCAGCATCGAAGCTGGAATCACGCCATGGGGAAGCTGGACGTGTGTAGTTCCAGATGTACATGCGCATTCTTGGGACTTGACCATCAATTGGGGTAGCAAAGTTAGCGTTGTTGATACCGGAACCGTCCTGGGTGTTCAAAGTTACGGGATCATTTCCTCGTCCACCTTGACCGTTGGTGTTGACCTCGAAATTTCCAGATGCCTCGTTGAAACCGAGAGTGTGGAGCAAATCGTGGTACATGTTTGCGGTGTAGAACAATTGAGTGACTGATGCATTTGCATAGGTTTTTGGCTCATCGTTCAAAAGACTGAATTCGTAGTCGAATACTAGGTCAGACTCGTACGGGCGGAAATCATTGTTGATGTTTGAGTCGCCATCCCAGTTGGTCTGGGCGTTACCGTTGTTTCCTCTGGTGGTGTTGTAGGTAACATTTCCAGTTGAGTGCCAGCCAAACTCAGAGGCTTGGAGGTTCCATGGGTCGGTCTCAATGACACGGCTTCCCTTCTCTGGATCGTTCACTCCCCAAGGGCTGTAATTTATTAGTCAATAATACAGAAACCTTAGAGATGATACACTTACTAAACGTTGTATGATGCCTCAGCAACGTAGTCTACAACATGGAACACTTTCTCGGGGGTCTTGGCGTCAACAAAGGTCAACAACCAGTTCGAGTCGATATCAGTCTCAACTCTCCATGCGAGTGCTAAGCTGCTGCCACTTTGGACGTAGACAAGGTGTGCCTTTGGGTCTGAAAGAGCACCGGTGGAACCAGTGATGGTGAAGTGCTCAATCTCAGCTTCTGGGACTGCAACAGCGGAGGATGCGTCAACTGCGAGCTGCAGAGTGTTGGATACGCCAGTCAAAGCTGCGACAGGGCTGACTTGGTCTCTCTTGATCAATGGGCTCTCTGTTGGAAGAGTTCCGGTGAAGAAAGAGTTCCCGAAAGAGAAGACTTTGCCATCTTTTCCAACCTGTAAATGTCAGGAATCGAATCATTACGAGCTGAAAATACTCACATTGACGTTGAAGTCAGCGGTATCAATATCAATGCCGTGAAGAGTCTGCTTGAAAACAACGTGTCCAACTCCAGTATCGGATTGGTAACTGTTAACGACACGAAATTCCGCTCCTGGGGCAACCTTTCTGACTAATTGACTGGCGGTGTCAATGTAAGTTGGCGCGGAGAATGTTCTGAGTTGAGGTTTCTCCTCGGTGAGGACAAGGTTGTTGGAGTAGCTGGAGCCAACACCAACTTTGAATGAATCCAAGTTGACTGTCCTTCTCTGAATGGTGTTCTCGGAAGTGGCAGGATGAGGATGACCGAGTACACGACCAGCCAACAAGGCAGCCGCGACAGCGGTTTGGGAGACGTGACGCATATTGAAAGGGTGAGTGACTAAGTGCAAGGTGTGATTGCAATGTTCTCGACGTCAATACCTCAAAAACTGATGCGACATCATCATGTATAAATATGCTCATGGCTATCACTGCCCATCTTTGGGAGTGACTATCATTGGCCGTAAGCTCCCAAGTCTTCTTACATTCGACAACTTCCTCATGAAGAATGGCCTCGCAGTGAGCCAAGAGATAACTCGATGTAAATGGATGTGAGCGACGACAAGCCCATGTGAGGCATGAGGCTCGAGTCACTTGGCAGGTCCACGGCTAAATGGCCTTGTGGTACCTTCTAGCCACAGACGCATGCTTTGTACAGATTACCAAATATTTCAAGGTACCAGTGCCACGGTGGGGAGGACTATATGAGGATTAAGCGCCAATTCAAAGTGACAAGTCGCGGGTAGACCGTCGTGCTCGCCCCTGACATGCGCAGAGAACCAGAGGCAAATAGGAAGCTGGGAGGCGTTTTTAAGTCCGATGGCACCTAAGAAGTGTACATCAAGCTGCAGAATGAATGAATGATGCTTGGTTAGGTGCAGAACCAAGCCCAATAGTTTTGGTACCGGGATGATTTTGATGGAAGAGCACATGAAGGACGTCGCCAAGCGATGCCAATTTCAAACCGTCGGCACCTCCCTATTTAGGCAGGTCGCTAAACAAATCTCACCTAAAGCCTCAAATCATCTGGAGGATTGAATCCCATAGTTATGGAATGCAGACAATTAATTCTCCAGTGGCACTGTGCTGTGCCTTTCTTACCCCCCATCTTTGATGCGGGGGATTTTGACATGGCGGGGTGATAGGACGAGGTGGATAGATATACCGAGACCGCGAATGAAAAGATAATGGTCGTAAGTGAAGCTAGTTATTGATCATATATCAGAAAATAATTGAATACGACTAAGATTACCAGACATAGGAAAGATAGAAAAGCCAAATGTGCTATTAGAGAAATCGCATAGGGAAGTCTTTTCTCCGAGTTCAGTATTCAAACTTCACTACTAAACACTCACAAGAGTGGACTAGCAATTAGTCTCAGCGTCGTAAACATCAGACCCTAGGATCGGCAGAGGCGAACGACACTTACAGGTCTTGGCTCTGATTGAACTGCTCTAACGAAATCCAGAATGACTTTCGGAATATAACTTCCAGCACGACAAGTCCGTAGTGAAAAAAGGAACGATGGATTATCTGTCGAACTTTCCTTGATCAACACGTAGATGTGGAACTGTCTACGCTAGTCCGTCACAGTATGCAGCTGTCCAATATGTCCTTCGCCAAAACGGGATGTTGATAGTTGATCGGCCAACTCAGGATACATTCGCAGAGTTTCCTGTCGGCTGATACTTGAAATGGAAGAGAGAAAAGGAAAAATAGGCCATATTTGGATTAGAGGAGCATTTCGACTGGGTTTAGACCTCGCAAAATGAAGCTGACTGAGACTAGGCTGACTTAGCGCTTGGCATTTCAAGATAGACAGACATTCTGTCGTCTTACCGGATCTATCTGGAATCGACGCTCTCTCACTCCTGTGCTAAGTTATTGACCTGAGCCGAGACGGTTTAAATGGCTGTTTCGTTGACACAAGGCAATCTCATTTTCAAGCACCTGCCGTATTAGAAGAACTAGAAGTATCGATAGACCAAGATGGCAAAAGTTTTCCGAATAATTCCTTTCTGAACAATGATGCTGTAACGTATTACATGTAGATATCTAATGCAGGGTATAGAAAAGAAGAAGATAACTCGACAAACGCATTCTAGCTACTCATCCCCATGATCTTACATTTCCGTCAAGCTTCCTTCAATGCAGTAATTCCTCGTGTTTGGCGTTCGCGTCTTGAGCAGTCTTGTGTCCATTCTCTTTCCTGAAAATATCCGACTCCGAGACAGGAGAAAATACTTTGCCCCATCGGAAAGCAAAGAAGTCGCCAGCAGTTACCATAGCACTGCGTAAGTTCTCCCGCATAAGCTGACTAGTAGGCTGACTGAAGATGATATCAATCTCCTCAAGAGTCTTGTTCTTTGTCTCTGGCATGAAAAGGATCTGGTAAAACCATCCCACGACCGCGATGCCACCGTAGAAGCCTAGTGACAAGCCGATCTTTGACATTGCAGATTGCATCTCGGCGAAGAAGTAAGTGACGAGGAAAGAGCAGAGGAAAAGCGTCACATCACTTGTTTCCATGCCGTAACTGCGAAGGTAGGTAGGGTAGACTTCTGCGGGGATGACCCAGGTGAGACAGGCGTAGGAGCCAAAGAAGCCCTCATAGATGATAAGACCAGTAATGTAGGTTCCTTGAGACCCAGCTTTGTTAGATAAGGGAATGAGATAGGAGCAGCCAATGATGACGAGACCGATGAAGAACCCAGGAAGCATAGCACACGCCCAAACTTTGAAAGTTGATTAGCAAGATGGAAAGCGATGCGAATCGAAGGAGATTATTTTACTTACATCGCCTGCCAAACTTCTCCATGTAGAAAATGGCTGGGAGGGTACCTAATAGGAGCGCCCCTCCACCAACGAGAGACATGAATACGGCCTATAGAATGTTAGCAAGAATAAAAGCAGCAAGCGAACAAAGCAGTATGTGAAGAAAGCTTACGTCTTTATCGTCAAACCCCACTTGTTGCATAAGTGTCGCCATGTAATACTGAATCGCGTTAATTCCAGTAAACTGCCCCAGAAACACCATAACGTTGGCGTAGATGATAGCCCGTCTAGCGCGTGGAACTGTAAAGAAATCCATCCATGGAAATCTCTTATTGACCCGATTCTCCATAGCGGCAAACTCCTCAGCGACAGAGTACTTCATGACGAAGAATTCAGTGCGAGCGGCAATATCTTGACCTTCATGGTATTAGTGCACTGTTCCTGAGTTAAAGAAGAACATTCATACCTCTAATCTGTTTCCAAACATGCCAAGCTTCGGTGGTCTTTCCTTTGTGCATAAGGAAGCGAGGAGATTCCGGCATGAACATGATACCCACGAACATCACAGTCGAGAAAATGAGAGATGATCCTAGCATATATCTCCAGCTTCCAGACGGTACGTTGACGAATATGGCAGCGACCACATAACCGAGGACTTCGCCTAGAGCTATCATGAATTGATACAATGAAACAAGATTTCCACGGTATTTTGGGGCAACGGATTCCGCGACGTCTACAAGTTGTCAGTCATGATAGCCTCACCGGAGTGACCAGCTTATACTCACAGACGGGAACGGTTCCACCCTCTAATCCAACTCCCATTCCGAGAATGATACGACCAGTAACCATCATCCCAAAATCAACTGCCCCAGCGCAAAGACCTGCACCAATGGTATACATGACGAGAGATACGATAATTGCCATACGTCGTCCAACGGCCTCGTTAAGGGGACCCAGAATCAATGCACCACCTACAGCTCCTAATGGCACACCGGAGCTAACAAGACTGACTTGTTTCGTGTTGAGACCGAGAGCTAGAGATGATCAGATTACAAATCAAAAAGGCAATGAGATAAAACTTACAAGCTGGCATAAAGAGATTGGCACCCGAGATAAGACTCTGATCGATTCCACTCAACAAACCACCCATGGAGGCAAAACCTAAACGGACTTAACACATTTCACTACTTTGCACGTTCGTCTTGGTGCACTCACCAACAAGCAGCCAAGTAAAATACCTGGGATCCTTCAAACGTAATTGTGGCTTAAGCCATGTCGACCGAATGTTCTTTGCCTGCAGCTCTGCCTCGACTTCATCCATTTCACGGTTGATGGTATCGATATCCCCCGCGGCCGCAATCTGAAGAGCCTCCCATTCAGATACCTGGCGCGTAGGTTTTGGTCGTGACGGAACATCGACTTGACCAATGATTTTTTCGTCCTTTGACACATCAATGTCACTTCCAGATAGGGAATTGCTCATTGGAGCTACGGTGGGGTTGGTGGGAGATGCCATTGCGACGAAGCACCACTTGTCAATTGGGAGGAGGGAGAAGATGAGAGAGGAGAAAGGAAATGCAAAACGGACGAGGGATCAGCGAACTATGTATTGTCTTTGAGGTGGAGACACTTGGAGCTTAATCCAATCCTCGACTGTACGAATACTAGATTTGCGGATGGAAACGTTCGCTAGCTAGCCGTCCATGTAGATTCGAGAACATCAAGAACGACCTATGGATCCAAACAGAGTCTTCGGTTGGTCAGTTTGACAGCGGTATCCGTTGCCCATGGCACCATGCATGTGGAAAACTCCAGCGGTCGGCTGCCCTTGGGGCCCCTTTTCTAGTTCGATCTCCATCAAACGCAGGTAAATTAGGGGAAGTGGAGGTTGGAGAAATTGATATCGCAACACTCGTGTGCAACGAGAACACCAAATGTGATGTCATTTAGATCTTTCAGTACAAAGGCGATTGTCGGCCTTTGCCCAACCCTATATGTTTTGAGAATATTCCCATCAAGTTCCACTTAGTAGCATTAGAACTGCCGTAGAAGGACCATGGCGTGTTTAAAAGTGCCACAAATTGGCCGAAATGGGAATATACTCAAACGAATCGCGACTTGTAATTCGCTGTTGAAGGTTGAATCCAGGGTTGATGGATCCCACGATGCAAATCCCTAATAAGCTTCCGCCCAAGCCAGCCAAGTGCAGCCACTCGAGTGCTTGGATCCAAACAAGCTTTCCACAAAATCTCCATAAAAGAGTTTTCTTGGTGTGTTCTACCCGAGTCAGTGGATGCGTTGCGCGGCACTTCTTCGCTTGTTCTGGAACCTGAGTGGATAATCGGAAGGGTCGCTCCGCGCAAGGGCTATTTGCTTTTGGTCCCTTCCAGAAAGAACAAGAGCCTCACACTTCAGTCTTCCTCGAGAATGATGTTGTTATGTGTGTCTGTCCCCTAGAGCTGGTGATTGAGTTGCGAATGTGTTCCGACCATACGTGAAAGCATCACCTGACAACCATTGTGTTTCTTGGGCTGTCCGTCTTCTTTTTGGATAGCAGTCGTTGAGAAACAATTGTAAAACCAGCCCATACCAAGCCTGTAATTCCTAGCTGCAGTACGAGGGCGGATACAATGTTCCCGGTACCGCGAAGTCCTAGATCCCTTATGGTTGAAGTTAATGTGTACATGTCCGCCGTAGGAGCCCCTGCGCTGTGTCGATATGCGCGACCGATCACCCTCATAACAAGAGCTTCTACTGGCATGACAATAAGCCCTGCCACAACCTCCCTAATACCCTCAGTTGCCATGATGGCGGGAAGCAGAGTCAGTCCGGTAACTCGGTACCGAGTCTCGTTGGATTGTTTAGGTTCGTTTGCTGCACGTAATTCCGCTGACCAACTGCCTTGCGGTCCTGGGGTAGAGTCAAGCTCAGTTGCATCGACTTCAAGGCTGATTAATGTTGCAGCTGGCTCTCTCTCATCTTCAGGTCCAGATTCATTTTCTCGCTCGGTCGGCCTAGTGGTTTCCATTCGCTCAAGCACAGGAAGGCCTTCTAACGCACGAAGAGTCGGCTCGTCTTGAACATTATTTCGATCCTGCTGGTGGCGATCTGGTGTGTCGAACTCTGCCGAAGGAGATATTGACATTCCTGCAAAGATACTCTCTCCGATTGGCCGGGGTAGATTTAGATAAATTGGCTGATACAGATTCCTTGCTACGATATGTTTTATCCATCCATTACCTGAAATAACAAGCAGTGGGATGAGTGATTTCGCTGCTACCAACGACCACGATGCAAGCGAACTGGCCCCGATTGGTAAAGGAAATGGAGGCGCTTGGATGGGAGAGTGCGCGGAGAACGGAATGAACGATCGTGCAGTAGGCATGAGCTGGGATCCGGGGATGAGGTGTAACTGTTGAAGAATGGCGAAGAGACGGAAATGCAAGGTGATAAATCCGAACCCAACGTTCAAGCTGTTGGTTGTAAGTGACATTGAGCAATCAGTGAAGATTTGAACAACTTACATATGCTGAATCGAATACTTCCATCGTAATTGAGCAGGCGGCAAAACAATCGCGTTCCCATTCTCATCCTCTTCATCCCATATAGCTTCTGTGACATTTTCTCCAAAGAAATGGATCCAATCAGCTAGGTGATATGCAAGAACAGCAGGTAGTCCTGAAGTAATAACCTGCAAAGCACTTGTTTCTCGGCTCTCACGCCTGATAATCTCCAAAAGTCCGGTGTCTGCATAAGATCGATAAATCTGGGCATCTAATTAACACAGGAAAACAGAAATCCGAACACATGCTTACCAAAATTCGTCGTCGAAGTCCAAGGACACCCCATATCCCACCGACCAACACAGCTCGCCCATACTCCATCGCACGGATGCCACTTAATGTTTCCTCATTCTTCTCTGCTTGGTACTCAGCCGCCTTGACCTTTGCGGCCAAGGAATCTTCAACAACACCAGTGACTTGCATCACTTCATTGGCAGCTCTCACGTGTTCTCGTTCCCGACGTTTGGTTTCTGGGTTGCGCGGATGGCCATGTTCGTTGTACTGCTGACCAGTCGACGAAGATGAAGGATTATCATCACTGCGGATGACTTCATCCTCGTAAGGTCCTCTGCCCTGTAAGTTGTTAATAAGAGTAAAAAGGGTAGACTGCACGTGCTTGAAAGGGATAATGGACATGAGCTTACCAGTGCCAAAGCTGTCAGAGAATCTAAGCGGACCATGTTGCTCGAGCTGACGGTATGTTTGACGCGATTTGGTTTTTGTAATTGTAATAAACGTTAGTCGTTCAACTATTCTTTGCCTGGTGACGGTGCATCTAGTCCCAAACAAAACTCCAGAGGAAACAACAAAGCTATTCCGGATATTAGAAGCTGCAGCTACGGAGCGAATGTTGTTGAGGCAGTACTGATGAGCCGGGAAAGCAAATTGAAAGTCACAGTGTTGCAGTCCCTCATAAGTCGTGCCAGGTTGAAGTCAATGAATGCAGCATGTTATTACTGGAGTTGCGTTTGAACGCGTGATTGCTGGAAATGTTCAGGGCGGTGAGGTTTCTTATCTGGCAGAACTCTTCAGTCTAAACCCGATAAAGCTGGTCGTGGGGTTCTTCGAAATATTTTCTTTCTGAGGGCAAGGAAAGCGCAAGAATCCTGGCAGCATTATTACGCTCATTTCATATATTACGTCTATGTCGAAAGTCCCCATACTCCCATGAATGCTGTAGTATTTTGTTGATTGCAGTAAAAAGTTGATCCTCCAACTGTACCCGGCGCAATGGCCAACAAATCCCCATACCAGACAACTTTTGAACCAGAGCGAACTATTCAACCAATATATACCGGTGGCAGTGTCGCTCTCGATAATAGCGGTCGCATACTTGCGACGACCTTAGGAGAGGATGCGTTACTTACGGATTTGAATACGGGAAGGCAGCTTGCCAGAATTGAGGGGGTGAGTAGTTGAATTCAGCACGCCGACATTCTTTGAGAAACTGCTAATCAAGTAACGAATAGGATGGAGAACTTATATCGACTCTAACATGTGCGCAATTCTTGTTCTCATATCTATGTCATCTCCGTTTCTCTGACAAAACCAATAGTAACCCCATCCGCCTCCCACCTCATCATATGCTCAAGATCCCTTTCAATGCGAATATATGCGCTAAGTGCGTCGCCGAATGCCAATCTCGATCTCAGCTACACTCTTCTACGAACCCTGAAACCTCATACAACGCCCGTGGTGGTTCTCGCTGTGGATCAGACCAGTACATTACTTGCGACAGGTGGAGCAGATGGTGTAGTGAAAGTTTGGGATATATCTGGTGGTTATGTTACGCATACATTCCGAGGTCCAAATATCCTGGTATCTGCTCTACACTTCTTTGAATTGGTGGCGAACAACCGGGACGAAGAATCTGAAATATCATCTCGAAATCGCAAAAAGGATCGTCGGAAGAGTCAAGGCGAGGAGTCGGAATCACAAAACGAGGCTACGAAAGGCTTTCGTCTGGCGTCAGGAGCGCAGGATGGGAAAGTCAGAGTATGGGATCTGTTCAAAAGCACATGCGCTTCTGTGTTAGACTCGCATGTCTCGGATGTTCGCGCATTGGACTACTCGCCTGAGGACAACGCTCTTTTAACAGCGAGTAGAGACAAGACGATAATGTGGTGGGATGCAAGGACGTGGAAAGTTCGGAGAGTGGTTCCTGTTCTTGAGGAAGTGGAAGCTGCTGGTTTCGTGGAATCTGGACGATTGGTCTACACTGGAGGTATTAATGGCAATATTCGCATATGGCAGTCGGATAATGGTCGGGAGGTCACAAAAGCGCAAGGCGCAAAGTCAGAGGCAGATTCAATCGTTAGTGGTATTCATGTTCCCGGTTTGCCATTCATCATATCTGTGCAATCAGATCATACGATGACTGTTCATTCGACCGAGCCACTACGTGAACTTTCGGCATCAGATACAACATCTCCCTTGAACGAGATTCGGAAGATCTCAGGTACCCATGACGAGATCATTGATCTGGGATATCTTTTACCCGATCGATCACTTTTAGCGCTGGCTACAAACTCGGAAGAAATACGAATTGTATCATTAGCACAATCCGGAGCGACCGACGATGCGACATACTTTGGAGCAGATGTAGCTCAATTGAAGGGTCATGAGGATATCGTAATCTGTCTTGACATCGATTGGTCTGGGCATTGGATTGCTACAGGGGCCAAAGATAATACTGCTCGTTTATGGAGAATTGATCCTTCCAATTCATCTTTCTCATGTTTTACCACCTTTACTGGTCATGCTGAATCATTAGGAGCAATTGGATTACCACACTCTATACCCCCAGAATCCTCTGCTGCATACAAGTCACCGCTTGAGCATCCGCCCTCATTTCTTCTTACCGGGTCGCAAGATCGTACGATCAAAAGATGGGATATTTCTTCCAGCGAAAGCGCTCGACGGGCGCCGCGGGCCATCTACACTCGGAAAGCGCACGACAAGGATATCAATGCAATTGATATTGACCACTCAACTCAACTCTTTGCATCAGCTTCTCAAGACAAGACCGTCAAGATCTGGTCAATCGAGGAAGGAGAGGTACAAGGAGTTCTTCGTGGACATCGTCGTGGTGTATGGTCTGTCAAATTCGCGCCAAAAGGAACACCGAATATCGTTGGTGACAGTGGGCCAGCTGCAGGTCGAGGTCTCATTCTGACGGGTAGCGGAGACAAAACAATCAAAATCTGGAGCCTTTCAGATTACAGCTGTCTCCGCACATTCGAAGGCCACACACACAGCGTCCTCAAAGTCGCATGGCTCAAAGTCCCAAACCAAGAAGAGCGCGGTCGAAGACACGTCCACGTCGCAAGCGCAGGAGGTGACGGCCTCGTCAAAATCTGGGACGCAAACACCGGCGAAGCAGCCGCCACACTGGACAACCACGAAGACCGAGTCTGGGCTCTCACCGTCCACCCAGTCACCAACACAATCGTCTCAGGCAGCGGCGACTCCACCATCACATTCTGGAAAGACACCACCTCGGAAACAGCCGCCGCCACTACAGCCGCAGCGACCGAATTCGTCGAACAGGAACAGCAACTCCAGAATTACATCCACAACGGCTCATACCGCTCCGCCATCACGCTCGCATTGCAACTCAACCACCCTGCGCGTCTCCTCTCGCTATTCACCACCGTCACCACGAAAACCCCCGAAGAGGGATCTCTCTCTGGCTTGAAAGCCGTAGATGAAGTCCTCTCCTCCCTTTCAGACAGCCAGCTCTTCACGCTGCTCCTGCGTTTGCGGGATTGGAATACCAACGCGCGTACCGCGTCCGTGGCGCAGCGGATTCTGTGGACGGTCGTGAAGAGTTATCCAGCGTCGCGTCTGTCGAATCTTAAGGTTCGAGGTGGAAAGGAGAGTTTGAAGGAGGTGCTGGATGCGTTGAGGGTTTATACCGAGAGACATTATAAGCGCATGGAGGAGTTGGTGGATGAGAGTTTTTTGGTGGAGTATACGTTGAGGGAGATGGATGGGTTGGGTTTTGTGGATGAGCGTTTGGATGGCGAGCTGGATGGTATTATGGTGTAGATTTTAGGGGGCATTATATACCCGTGCTTCAATTTATTCTGAAATGTGAAATGGTTCTGCATGTGAATCTTTCCAGGTGATTATCTCCTATTTTGATCTCGTTACGCTCGGATTAGTATAAATTTCGAGTCTATTGAGTCAAATTGGAAATCACAATTGCTTCCATTTACATTTACCAATACCAAATCAATCCAAATCAAATTTGTTTACTACACGAATTGTCCTCTAGTGTAATTACATCCTTCATACAATAAACATCTAACACACCACAACCTAATCAACCTAACGCACAAAACACCACACCACACCACATCACTCCATATTCCACCTTCCCCTCTCTCCCCAACAAAATCCCTTTCCATGTCGTCAATTTCCCCCAACTACCCCCCCCCCAAAACAAAACC